AGAAAAACAGCATTTTAATCCGAGCACCTTTAATAATGTTCTGAAATGAGATCACACCTGCTCCAGCTTTTATTCACAATCATAAATATCCAGTTTATTACAAAACACCTCACGTCAACATTATAAATAGATTTTATAAAACACAGGGAAACATCTGGAGAAGAAAGTGACTCTTCTGCTGCAAAACACGAGAACAACAACGAACAGGAGTCACAACTAAAACAGAACTTTCAGTTCATCTGCCTCAGCTCTCGGAGCAGATTCAACAGGAAGCAGTGCAGTCTGAGATGTGTTGCACATCTGGATGAAAGAAGCAGAACAAGTGAAGAATCAACAGGTTTTCAGTGAGACAGAAACAATATCATTTTTAGAGAAAGACAATCTAAATCAGAAACCACCAGAAAGAAGTCTTCTTTTTTTAAGTGTGCTTTAACTTTACATTCCATTTTCCTCAAAGACACCAGACTTTATGGAAAATACACATTTGACCAGACTCCATCCATTTAAATACAAGTTTGACATTTCTCACTCTGGGAATTTTCTCGCTGTTCCTCATTTTGAATCGTCGGCCTCAGAAACAGTCCTCACCAGCTCCAGTGGTACATGTGCGCCAGCTGCTGCACCCCTGGGTGCTGCTGCGGCAGGCCGGGGTGCTCGGGGCCGTATGGGTGCAGCAGCGGGGAGTAGGCACACAGAGGCAGGGTCAGGCCGGACCTGAGAGGACCCTCCAGGTCCTGAGCACTGATCCGGTCGCAGGGCTTCCCGTCCTGCACCAGCACCGGGATGGCGACCCTGCGAGCCGGCAGCAGCTGCAGCGCCTCCAGGCTGCGCTCGGTCCGGGCTCGCTTCATCTTGTATCGGTGGTTCTGGAACCAGATCTTCACCTGGTTCGGGGTGAGGCGGATCATCCCGGCCAGGTGCTCCCTCTCCGGGGCGGACAGGTAGCGCTGCTGTCGGAAGCGACGCTCCAGCTCGAAGGTCTGCGCCTTGGAGAAGAGGACGCGCCGCTTCCGACCGCGGCTCTTCTGCGCCTCTGAGCCCGCCGAGTCCCGCTCCGCGTCCGGGGACTCGTCCGCAAAGAGCTCCGGGGATTTCGGCTCCGTTCGAGGCTTTAGTGAGAGACCGTGTACTGCGGGCAGAGACAAAGTAATCTTATTACTCCCTGGACTCTGATTACTCTGAAACTTAAAGAAGAAGAAACATCCACAGACTTTTCTATTTTGATTTTCTATTTCTGTTTTAGTTTATATATAATAAGCTTCATGTGGATATGAACCAAACCAGGTTTTTAAGTTGAGCCACCTGCTCCGTTCATCATCAGAGACATGAAGTCAAATTATAAACTCACAAACATGTGACTCAGTTTATGAGTTGAACAATCAGCTGCTGGATAAAACAAGACTTCTTTTAAATTCAGCTTTAAAGAGAGAAGGGCCGGTGTCCGTGTCAGGCTGTGCGGGCAGATGTGGAGATGAACTGATGGTCTGAAGTCGTTAACTTGGTGATTAAAGTGAAAATACATTCATAAAACATTTCAGTAGAATAAAGATATTTCAGCAGGTTAACACAGATCAGAGCGGATCTTAAATTACGCACGAGCAAGTTGAGCTTCAGTTTTAAATCTTGGAGCCAGAAATGAGATAAAACCAAATTATGAGACGATGTTGAATTAAACGATGAATATTTTTCATCATTAAAATTTAATCTCCTCACGTGAGAAGTGCAGGTTCCCGGACCCGCGGCTCCACCGGCCCAGGATCCCTGCGCCTCCGCCGCTGCGCTCGAACAAACTCCGCGCGTTAAATCCCAGTTTCTGCGGGTTCTCTGAGCCTGAGACCTCGGTGTCGTCCTCCTCCGTCTCCTCGGTACCGGAGCCGCCGCTGGACCTTCCGGTCGGGTCCGGGAGATCCAGGATGTCCCGCACGGAGAATCCAGTTTTTGTGTTCGTGCCAAAAGACATGGCGCGCGTAAAGGGAAGGAGAGGCGAGGTAAAGAAGGCGGGGAGTTCCAGGTTCGAGTCCGCGATGCTTCACCGGCTGCAGCCCGTTACAGAGGAGCGGACACCGGAGGGTCTGCGGCCATGGATGTCGTTAAATGAAGCGGGAGCCCTGAGCTGCAAGGGCCGACCGGAGGAGAGGGTCTACCGGCATGAAAATAACATGAGGGGGGGACATGAGGAGCGTGTGTCCTCCGTCCTTTTAACGACGTGTGTGTGTGTGTGTGTGTGTGTGTGTGTGTGTGTGTGTGTGTGTGTGTGTGTGTGTGTGTGTGTGTGTGTGTGTGTGTGTGTGTGTGTGT